TGGAATTTTTTTAGGGTTAAGATTACATCATTTGAAGCCTTGATTGACCATTAAAAGACTTCTCATTCAGCTATAAAAAAACCCCAAGAGTTGGACTTGAAACTTCTTTCTCTAATTTTTAACCCTTTTTTTCTTAGTCTAGGTTTTTCTCCCAAGGTTGGCAACAACACTTTTATTCACTAACCAAACCTCCCTTTGAGACCCATTTGCTTTTTGTTTTCATTTTATTTTCTAGTGTTCTTTTTATTCTTTAAGCCTGTTTTAAGCCTTGTTTAGTTTTGTTCCCTTACAATATTTATTTTGTAATTTTTTTTCTCTTAATAGAAGTTTGATTTACTTTATTTGCTGCTAGTTTTCATTTTTTGCTTCTGGTTTTGGTTTTCTTTATTTTTCTAGAACTTTTACATGATGTTTGAGCTCTTTGAAGCTTGGAAAGGATGGTTTTGGATGGTATTGTAATGGTTACATCATAGGGCTCCACAAGTTTGATCTTTTATTTGCTTTAGTTTCTTGTTCTTTACATTTATGTTTATTTAGTTTTATGCTTAGTTTTTTCTATTTCGGCTAATTCCATTTACTTACTATTTATTTATTGTTTTGATCTTGTTTTCTTACTCTTATTTTATGTTTATGAATTCTTTACAAGTTTGATTACATGTTTTAGCCTTATTTGTTCATTTGTTGCATTTACCTTACATTATCTTCATGCATTTTTCAACTAGTTTTATTTAATTTCTATTCGATTTTTGTCACTTTTTGCCTAAACGTTTTATGCTCATTTTTAAGCCTATTTTAAGTTTAAGTTGTTGGTTTTCAAGTTTCATATAAAAATTCCCAGATTTTGTAGCATTTAGGTTGATTAGTTCTTAGGTTAGGTTAGCTTTTCTTATTCAGTTTCTACCCAGTTTTATTTACATTATATTCAGTTTTTACTTGGTGTTTCCTATGCATTTTTCTTTCAATTTCCAGTCTACTTTAATTTTGTATTTTTGGTTTTCATGTAGCAATTAGGTATTTTTACTTTTGATAGCATTTTGTTTACTAGGTTAGTTAAAATAGGTAGCTTTCATTCTCAATTTTTGTTAAAATAGGTACCTTTTTTTACAATTCCTTTAGGTTCATTCATGTTTACATAGCATCTTAGATGATAGGTTGCATTTAGCTTGCATTTTATGTTTTGGTTTTGCATGCTATTTTGCTTCAATTAGATTCAGTTTTCACATATAGGTTCCTATAAGTTGTATGTTTCATTTTAATTTCATGCATTTTAATTTCTAGTTTAATTTACTTTTAAAAGCATTTAATTTCATCTTTTTGTTGTGTTTATTTTTGTTTTAGTTATGGTCAAGTTTATTTCATCTTTTAGTTAGTTTAAGGTCAAATTTCCATTTTAGAGAAATTTTTTTTTTAGTAATTGCTATTTTTAGAAAGTTCTAGTTCTTAGTTAATGCTCTTTTTTATAATTTGTAATGATTAGATTTTTAATATTTGGTAAAATTTAATTTCATGTAAGATAATTATAAAACATAAAAATTTTTTAGTTGACTAGATATACCATAAGTCTAGAGACAATACTTAACCCTAAGTCTACCACTCAATCTCTATAGAGACGATACTCTAATACTTCCTATTTATACAACCTGTCGTATTATCCATTTAGACCTTATAGGTTTACCCCACTAAGTGGATCAACCAAAGTCCATACTTGGTTTGCATCCATGGCATTCTTTTTAGATTTCATGGCTTTAAGCCATTTATCAAAGTCAATATCACATACTGCCTCTTCATAGGTAGTAGGTTTTTGTCAACAAGCAATGCATCTCTTTTCAATAGAAATCCATAACTCATTGGTGCACTCTATAACTTACTTGACCTTTGAAACATTTGTGTTTGTTGAACATTGGGTTGAGCATCCGTATGCTTAACCATAAGCTCAGGTTTTTTATGTGTTATTTTTTATGGTTTTTGTACTTCTTCAAATACAATCTTATTCCTACTATTCCTTTCAAATAGGAACTTTTTTTTCTAAAAGGGTTACATGTTTCAAGACAAATAGCTTTTGCTCAGTTGGATTATAGATGTAGTATCCAATTGACTATTTAGGATACCTAACGAAAAAACACTTATCTAACCTAGTTCTTATTTGTTCTTAGTTTTATTTAATTTATAAAGTCTTTGGCCAAAGTATTTGACTAGAAGCTGCAATAACTAATATGAAAGGTGCTCATAAGTGGACACTTGCCATGATCATGCCCTTTTGGGATATTTGGTAGAAGGATCAAATTATATTAATAAGCTGAAGACTGAAAGGTTTTGTTGAGATTATATTGACTCTTTGACATTTGGGTGTCATTATGCATTGTTAGATGTTGCTCATAATTTATGAATATAATTATGTTATCCTTATATTGATATAGATTTATATTCATTACTAACTTATAGGAAACCTAATGGATCACACACAATAATCACAATGCCTAATTAAAATGGGGATTCAATTAAGTAGAACTTAATTAAATAAAAACTAAAATATGTGAAGGATTTAATTGAAAAGTTTAATTAAATTAATAGGGCTAATTTAGAATTATGATAATTCTAAATTAGGGCTTTAGTAAGAAAAGTCTTATATATGGATATAAATCTTGTGCTCTTGCTGCCCTAACCCTAAGAGAGCATATAGTGATATGTGGCCAAAAAGTTGGCTATCATATTTTCCCTTTACCTATTCTTCCTTAACTACACAGGTTGGAAAACATGATGAAAGAGTTCTTCTTTTGAGGTTTGGCAATAGAAGAGATGAAGTTTTGGTTTAGGCCTTTGAGCCATATTGCTAGCACGAGGGTTTCCTAAATCTTGGAGAAAGATTCTAACTTATGATTATGTGGATCACCACTATAGGTCAAATACTTGGATGGCTTAAAATCTTAGGATTCCTTGATGCTCAAGCAAATCAAGGGCTGTTCTAACTTAAGATTACGATATCTTTGAGTTAAGATATTACTCTATTCATATGGGTGATTATTGATTGAATTATTTTTAACTTCAATTAGTGTTACCAAGTGATTTTATAGAAGGGCATCTATTTTGTTTGTTTATTTATGCTTTTAATTTTATGTTCACTATGCATGAATGTTTTATGAACATGATCTAACAGCTAACATTTCTTTGATACATATGGTATATAATATAATTAATTGTTAACTGTATTATGCCAAACGATACCAAAAGTAAATTCTTATCAAAGGTTATCCATTTGCAATTTTTTTTTTTTTTACTTTTTTCCTTTTGTGGGTAGATAAAAATTTAATATAAAGGATGCAGATTGAAACCCCTAATTAATTTTTCATTTAAGGAAAACTAATGAAATGCAACCTACATTCATGTTGTCCTACCTCAAATGATATGAAAAAAGCCAGTAATTTGGACTCCATTTGTTTTACAAAAATTGACATTTAAAAAATATTTTTTCAAAAATGTTTACATTTTAAGAAAAAGTAAAGACTTTTTGTTGTTTTGATAAATAAAATATTTTTTTTGTTGTTTGATTGGTTTTTGAAAAATCCCTTTTTTCAAATAATATTGACATAAATATTAAAATATTTAAAATTATTTATTACTAAAATATATTAAAATTATTTATTTATTAAATTTTTTATTAAAAATAATTATATAATATTTAATATTAAAATATCATATAAATATTAAATACTTAAAGTAAAATTATTTATTATTCTTTATATTAATATTTTTAAATATTTAAAATAGTATTACTATTTTTAAAATATTATTTTTATTAACATAATCGTATTAAAAATAGTAATATTTATTGTTAAAATATTAAAAATATTTATACTATTAAAATGCAATATTTTATTTTATATTGAAAATATCTATTATTAAATAATAATTAAAATATTATTTATTTATATTATTATTAAAATAGTCATATAAATACATTAATCAATAAAATATAATTATAATATATTTTAAATTGAAAAAAATGAAGAAATGATTGAACTATTCATATTATTAAAATAGTATTATTATACTAAATAATACTGATTATTAAAATAATAAAAATATTATTACAATATTAATATTTATTATAAAAGTAATAATATAATACCATTATTATTGAAATATTAAAAATATTTATGTTTAATAATATACAAAATAAAAATATTTCAAATTAATATTTCAAATGCCTTTTAATATTAATATATAAAATTTATATTAAAATCAATAAAAATATTTTTTATTAATATAATAATATTTTAAGTATGATCAAATTAAGTTATATTTAAAATATTGTATTTTGAACCTTATCTGAATAAAATTGTAAGAATATTTAAAATTAAAATATTATAAAATTTTTAATGTTAATATTTTAATTTTTTAAATTAAAATTAAATAAAAATATTTTTTATTAATATAATAATATTTCAGATCTTATCAAATTAAATCTTAACATAAAAAATCATGTTCAGAATTTGATTTGACTAAAACTATACTTACAAGCATGATATGTAATTATTACGATAAAAATTATTTGCAAAAATTAGTTCTTTTTTTAAAATAAGAGGTGACAATTTGTTAAAAATTAATCTTTTTAAATTTATCGATAAATTATTTTTTATTGATTTACTATTTTTATAAAAAAAAAGTACAAAAATTATATTTTAAAAAATAAAATCTCAGAAAAAACAAAGTAAAAATTATTAAAATTAAATTAAAAATATGAATTAGGAGAAGTATAAAAAAAGTATAAATGTGATAAGGCCAAAAAAAAATGTTAATAAAATAAATTTGAAAAAAATTAACGAGAAAAAATTATGAAAAAAAAAAAGGCCCGAGATAGATAAAAAGAAAAAAAGTGTACGGAGGACCAGCGTGTTGTTACAGGATGGACGATCTTGAAAATGAAAATAATGCAAAGCTTTACCGACACGTGTATAGGAGATAGAGCAAGTGGACAGTGGGGAGAATAGTGGCGAGTGGTACCCAGGTCTGGACACAATAAAAACGAGGCTTTGAAAGAAAATGAGAAGCGTAGACCGCTCCTCTTGTTCATTCTTCATCTCTGTTATTGTTGTTGTGAAATTTTGGTCCCTCTCTCTGTCTTCGATTGCTAAATGTTTTGCTCACCTTCTGATATTATTTTTGGGTCTTGTTCTTGTTCTCCTTCTTGCGGGAGTCATTTGATGAATTTATCAAATTAAGCATCTCGATCAGTCGTTGTCCCAATTTCGTCTACTCTTACTATTAGTAATATATTTCAGGTATGCATTTAATATATTTCCCCCTCTGAATCCGCTCTCTTGATCACTTGTCCTGCTAAAGTTTTTGCTTCTTTTCTGCAATTGATTTTCAGCGTGTTTCCAAAAGCTGATCTATGCCTAAAGTTGGTTGGATAGAATTTGCTATTATTTTAATAATTTATTTTTTATATAAATGAAGATTTCGATTGGTAAGGATATGGAATTTGAAAAGGAAATGGAAAAGTAAGAAGTTTGATTTTAAATTTGTGTTTGTTTGATCGAAAATCTGTAGCTGAATAATTTTTGTTCTGCTTCATTCTGTCAGTTGGTCGATTAGGGCTTTTTTTTTTTAGGCATTTGAAAGTTGATAGTGGTAGCTTTGTTTTTTGTACGCATAGAATTTTTATGTAAAAGTCTGTGCTTTGCTTCTGCATTTCAATCTCAGCTATGAGTGGTTTGACTGTATTTTGAAAGGATATTTTGGCTTAAGGGCTCCGATTCAGCTTAAACAATCTGGGATCCCAATAATTGCATTCCTAGGGTTTGCTAGCAGCTCCAAGGCTTTTCATTTTTCATAACAATCATTTCAAAAGTGGAAACTAAACTAGCTAGTATCTCCTTTCTCACATCAGTTGTATTAAAAACAAACCCAAAAAAAAATGAAAAATGTAAGTACCTGATGATTTCTGGACACTGCTTACCAAAATATCTTCTCCCTGTAAAATTGCTTGTCTTTCTCAATCTCCAAACGTCCACTTGCCTCCCTTTGCTTGCTAACGGACACTTTATCTGGCACTTTTTTTTTTAATATATATATATATATATATATATATATATTTCTGTATCTCTTTAATTCCTTTACCCAATAAAATAAGCACAAGTTATGTATTAAAACCCTAGCAATGCTTGCCCATAATCTTTAGCACTTAATGCCAGGTGGTAACTCACAAGCTTTCATTTATGTTGGTTTTAGGGTGTATCCTGAAGGTATTGTGCCATCAAATGAGTGTCAAGAGTTTGGGCTAAGGAGAACTGCTTATCCTGATTTTATCTTTTGGGGTACCATTCATGATAGGGAAAATGGTTGAGGGGCCTAAATTTACTGGACTTATGGGAGGAACCAACAACAATGACGACAATTACTATGATTTAACTCAACGGTTTTACCAAAAACTTGGTGAGGGCTCAAACATGTCTATTGACAGTTTACAGACGAGTAATGCCGGTGGGTCTGTGTCCATGTCAGTCGAAAACAGTAGTGTGGGTTCTAATGATTCTCTAACCCACATTTTAAGCCACCCTGGTCTAAAGCCTGTGAACCACCATAATTACTCTGTCTCTGTGGGGCAGAGTGTGTTTCGTCCTGGTAAGGTTGGCCATGCACTTAATGATGATGCATTAACACAAGCATTGATGGATAGTCGGTACCCAACTGAGGGGTTGCAGAATTATGATGAGTGGACTATTGATTTAAGAAAACTTAATATGGGTACAGCTTTTGCTCAAGGAGCTTTTGGGAAGTTGTACAGAGGTACATATAATGGTGAGGATGTTGCGATTAAGATATTGGAAAGGCCAGATAATATCCCAGAGAAGGCACAAGTTATGGAGCAGCAGTTTCAGCAGGAAGTTATGATGCTTGCAACATTGAAGCATCCAAATATTGTGCGATTTATTGGGGCATGTCGTAAGCCAATGGTTTGGTGCATTGTGACAGAGTATGCAAAGGGAGGCTCAGTTCGACAGTTTCTAACAAGGAGGCATAACCGTGCTGTGCCATTGAAATTGGCAGTTAAGCAGGCATTGGATGTTGCGAGAGGGATGGCCTATGTGCATGGGCTTGGGTTTATTCACAGGGATTTGAAGTCAGATAACCTTCTAATAGCTGCTGATAAATCGATAAAGATCGTAGATTTTGGTGTCGCACGAATTGAGGTGCAGACTGAGGGCATGACACCAGAGACGGGGACATACCGTTGGATGGCTCCGTAAGTCTTTAAGCCCTTATATGTTACAGTTTCTTCCCTGTTACAATGTGACATATACACTTTTTTTTTTATTTGATGGCTCTTTTCATCTTTGTTAGATGATTCTTGCTAGTTGGTATGAACTTTCTGGATTATTTTTGAAGAAAATCCTTAAGGTTGTGCATTCTTTCTGCATAGATTTCTTACCCGTTTGTTTAATTAACGATATCTGTTCGTATATTATCTTTTATGTTCTCATGTTATTAATTATGTTAGGAAGTAAGTCATGCTGTGTAAGGTTCTGCTATTTTCTGTTTTCATCTTCTGAGCTGATGCTTTGGTTTGATAATTTGAAGGAAGGCACTGCCTTCTTGAATGTGATTTGATTTAGAATTTTTGAGTTCTCTATTTTTGGCTGGAACATTGTAAGGTTTAAATAATTTCAAATTATTTAAAACATTCACATAATTGTTGCCTATCTAGAAGAAATTTTGATTAGAATGTGCATTTATCATCTCAAAAGATTGGATTTTTAAGGTTTCTCTCTCTCTCTCCCTCTCTCCCTCTCTCTCACTAACATAGGTGTGCATGTTCTTCATCTGGATGTCTTGCAGCTTAAAGTGAATTAGGCTTCTTCTTGAAGCAAAATAAAGAAGATGTAATACCTATTAGGCGGATACTTGATAAAGAAAGTACTTATCAAGCATTCATTTATTTATATCCTTAAATTAGTTTGGAAGGGTGAGTGTTCATTTGAAATTTTAAACATTTGAGATTTGAATGTGATACGCCGTAATATGCTAAGTTGATATTGTGTTTTCAAGCAAGACTGAGATTGTGCCTAGCTTGTTTTCATCCACTGCCACTATTTGCAGTACATCATGTCCTTTCTCCATATTTTTGGGTGCTTATTTTGTTCCAGCTATGGTGGCTGAGAAAGCAGGTCTTCTATCTTGAGATTTGGTTCCTATTTCATGTTTGGGTGCATTTTGAAAGTCAAATATTGAAAAATTTTCATATGAATTTAGTATTCTTTCACCCATTATACTTGTGCTTTCTGTTTGGTGTATTTAAAGTTATTTCTTTTGATTGCTCATGGATGCCTTTTGTTTCATGATTTACTTGGGATTCACATGTATCAACTGATCCTTTCTCTTATTTGGTTTATGCTTCATCCTTATTGCTATATGCTGTCATATATACCAATTAATTTGTTTCTAATTTAATAAAACCATATTACTATTAATTAAGAATAGTGACCAAGGCTTCCAGATGGCTCAGTGACTAGTTTTTGGCAGCAGTACCTAAACTATATTGGATGTGGCAGGGCTAGAGAGAAGTTGCAAAAGCTCCCAGGAGGTTTTTTGGAATTTATATGTTATTGTTTGCAACATCTTATTGCACAGCACTGAGGTTGGACTGACAAGACAGTACTTATGACTTGTCTATCTAAATTTAAATGGTACTGTTCTAAAGAAGCTAATTGCCGAGAATTGGAATCTACCTGTCATATGCATAGGAACCAACCAGTTCGTGAGGGCGAAAAGATCTCTCTCTCTCTCTCTCTCTCTCTCTCTTTTCAAGGCTTCATTTTTCCTCTCTTTATCAACTTTAATGTTGTTTGCAGCCTTTACATAATTATATAGGGAGTCATAGTGATGTATACAAACAGATTGGTTAAGAGTTGTATTTTGTTTTTAGTTTAAAGTTTGGATATAGACAAACAGATAGGGTAAAAGTTGTATTTTGTTCTTAGTTTAAAGTTGGGAGGTTACTATTTTTGTTATGTTATGTTGAAGCAAGGGAGGAAGACAAATAAGTGAATCACTGTACTCAAGAATGGCCTCCTCTTAAGTCTGCACAAATAGCGAGGTTGGATTGAAATATGTTTTACCAAGAAATTTCCTAGCTTTAAACTGAAAAATGTCTCTGAAGTTATATTTGGATAGAGCATTTGACAATTTCTACAGCATTTTAAAATGAGGCAATTCAAAGGGCAGCAATTGAGAATGTGTTTTTGGTCAACTATTCCACAAATTGGAATATTGTCCGTGGGTTATCCAACTTAAACAGAACATTGCCATTTCTTCCTCAGAAATCCCAACCATCCTCCCAATAGCTTCAAATATACCGATTTTTTTTTCAAAAAATTTGCTAGAAAAGGCTCAATCTTGAAGTGATTAGAGAGATATTTGAGTAGAAGTTGAAAACAGTGGCTACCATCAACAGTTCTTTAGTGGCAAGAGAAATTGCATCTTGAAGCATAGGAAGAGGAGAAATCTCACCAGAAGGAGAGGAGAAAGGATGAAAGGCAAGTGAAAAATATAAAATTAGTTCTTGCTGGTCTTGCTGGAAGTTGGAGAAGACATTAATGGCCATGAAACAGTGAGATCACTGAACAAAAATTAACTTCGGGTGACAAAGCTTGAGTATATGAGAGTTTATCTCTCCTTTCTCTGTTTTAGTAACTTGTTTTTTGTTGAAGGAAGAAAGTACTTTTAAATAACACCTTTCTAGGCTTTGTTTTGAAGCAGGCATTTGGATCTGTGAAATTCTGTTATCTTTTTACCCACATGATGTTTACTTTTTAGCGTTTAAAATGCTTCCTCGAAATCCAGTCTTTCCAAACACATTCTTATGTAAAGTTGCAAACTGTTGACCACGAGTTTGAAGCAAAATTATGGTTGTTTCCCCAATTAAATGTGTATTTGTAGAATGTTTGAGAATAGAAATGGTAGGTTTAGCATGGTGAAAGATCTACAGAGAATCATAACAAGCTGTTATTTAACACTTTTAATCGGAAATGTCTTATTTGCAATATGGCTGCATTGATGATCAGAAACCGTGAACTGGGAAAGATGAGAAAAGATCATAGATTTGTTAGACATGATACTTTGGGCTCTTTTAAGTAAAATACTATATTTCTAGGATTCGTCAAATAATTTTTGTATGTCTATGTGAAGATGATACTACAAATGACCTTGTTTTCTTTTTGCCTTGGTTTGTTGATTGTTTAGGGTGGGAAATTTTGTGGATGCGTTTGTAGAGGGCTAAGTTCTGACTGGTTTGAAGGATACTATTTTGAATTGATAAGTCACAGTTTCACAATTCAACTTTGATGTAAATTGTGTAGTTTGAATTCCTCTTTCTCGTGTGCTTGACTTAATTTGCATTGCTACAGTGATTCCCCACCTTGAGAAAAAATAGTTGAGAAAATTGCATCGCTTAGTCTTGTTACTCTCTTCTTGCCATGTTACCTACATTTATCTAGTAGAATTGCTTTCCTGTTTCAAATGGAGTACTGGAAACTGATTTGCATCTTATATATCAATCATAACTACATGTTAGTGTTAGTTGCTGAATTGGTTTTGGCATTTAGTTTATCATTAGTTTTCACTGAGTTATCTTTTACATGAAACTGCATTCATTTGCTGATCAGTTGACTTGGTATCTGAATTGTCTTTCTATTAAGTATTTTATTCAATTTGTTTATTTATGTTGGTAATGCTGTTGGTTGTGATTCTGTGCTTGTCTTCGCTCTTGCAGAGAGATGATACAACATAGGCCCTACACGCAAAAAGTAGATGTGTATAGTTTTGGAATCGTCCTTTGGGAGCTTATTACTGGCTTGCTTCCTTTCCAGAACATGACTGCAGTGCAGGCAGCATTTGCTGTGGTGAACAAGGGCGTAAGGCCAGTTATTCCAAATGATTGTCTCCCTGTGCTGAGTGAGATCATGACCCGTTGCTGGGACACTAACCCAGAAGTCCGTCCTCCCTTCACTGAGATTGTGAAGATGCTTGAGAATGCTGAATCTGAGATACTGACAACTGTTCGTAAGGCCCGCTTCAGGTGTTGCATGACTCAACCTATGACAATCGACTAATCCAGAATAGAAGAGTGAAGAACAGACAACAAAGGAAAAGAGGATATATATTTAAATATAAATTCGTGTATGTATCAGCATTTTACTCTTTTCTTTTCCCATTATTTTCCAGATAGGAGAAGGAAACTATTCAGACCGCTTGTTTCTGGATATTGGTGTCAATTGTGCTTGGAACAGTTGTGTTGTAGCTTTAGTAGTAAGGGGATGAGCGATGTTGTTTGCCTCTCTATATATGCGATGGGAGCCTGCCTTATGTGTTACACTTTGATTGATTAGATGCAGGTTCTCAATTGGATCAACGGCTTATTTTTGGTTTTCTTTCTCTTGTTCTTGCTTTTGTTTTTACACCCGATGTTCACTGGTGCTGATTAGTGCATGGTATTTGTATTCATAGCTACTTCTGCTCGCTGGTTATTTTTGTGGGGATATGTTTGGTGTGGCGCGTTTTTGTCTGTTGAAAAGATAAAAAGAATGGTATAGACACTTGTTCGGATATTTAAAAAAAAAAAAAAATGGATTTCAATTTTGTCCGTGTTCAAAAGTCTGATTGAATTTGTCTTGAGTTTTTAGTGGGCTTAATTGCACGAGTCTCTTACGTGGGTATTTGAGTTTGAAAATTTAAATTTAAATTTATTTGGGTTTAAAAGTTCAAAGTTCAATATAGTGGTCCAAAATCTCTTTCAGGCCTAGAGATATTTTAATTAATTAAGATAAGTTAAATAAAAATGAAAAATAAAAAAATGCAAAATTCGAATTAGCACGACACCCATGTAGCCATTACCAATTCTAACCTATTACAGATTTTTTTTTCACCAAACAAAATTAATCTAGTGGTTATTTTTCCGTCATAGTAGATACTTTCATCTCTTGATGAAATTCAACTTAAACTAAAATTGGAAAAATAGAAACCCTAAGCAAATTGTGATTTGGTTCAAATCAATTGAAAAAGCAAAAATCACAAACTATGACTAATGTGGTTATCTTGTGCAAACGCAAAGTCTAAAAAAAAGAGCACTGACGGCATCTTGGAGAGTTTTAATATCTTAAAAATCACGAATTTTCACCTTTCATCTAGCTCTATAAATCAAAAGCTCAAACACACCAAAAAAGGAAAAGACGAAACAATTGAAAAAAAAACGGCCAAAGAAAAGCTTTCTTAGCCTACCCAAAAAATAAAAAATAAAAAATAAAATTATTTCAAGTTCACCCAAAAAACAAACACACATAACATAAAAATTAACCTCATGCTTAAAAAGGGAGTAGTTGGGAGAAAAGAAAACAAAAAAAGCCAAAAAATAAAAAAAAAATCTTTGATCGAAACTTTAAAGGCTGGGCTGGGCTTTTAGAGGTCATTTTTTGAGAAACAAAACTTAAAATGGTGCAGAAAAAAGGTCGATGGATGTTTTTGGTTTTTTTTTTTTTTGGTATTTTTAGGTGACTGATAATGGTGGCTAGCGACAGTGACCGGCGAAAGATAATGCGGTCGATCATTTTCTAGGAGGCTTGGCGACAAAAAAGGTTTTTGAAATTTTTTTAATAGAAAAGAGGAAATGAGTTAAAAAAAAGGTATATTTTATAGCTTAAAAAAAAAAAAAGCAAAATGGTGTGTTTTAGGGAAGAAAGATCTTTATATTGACCCAACTTGATGACCCGCACACCCAACCTTATGACATGCTTCATAATAGCCCTTCAACTGATATGGTTTAATTGCCTATTGAATCGCCCGAATTACTGTTGAATCGCCCAGTTCTTTCTTAACCTAAGATTGGCTTAACTGAACCGGGTCGAGCCACTATCAAACCATTGACCAGTCGATTTAGGTATTTTTTACTTTTTTTTTGTTTTTTTATCTTATTTTTCAATTAATTTCTAATTTTGGCTAAGTTATTTATTTTGTTATTTTTGCATGTTTAAAATTCTAGATTTCTAAAATAAATACTTAATATTTTTTAAAAATGAAAACAAAATAGCATTTAATAAGGATAATTTTTTCTTTTAAAATGGTAAACTTAATTTATTCAAATTTCATATTTTTTTGTTATAAATAAGAAAGTAAAAAAAGGAAAATTTTTTTTCGATGATGAGATTCTAGGAAAATCTACGTAGTGATTCTTATAAAATCTTGAGGTGAAAATTTTTTTTATTACCAATGTATTGGAGTGTTTATAAAAAATTTTCAATATAAAAAAAAATCCTTTCTCTTCTACTCATGAAAAAAAAAGGCAAAAAATGTGAAAAATGAAAAAAAAAGAAAAATACTAATAAACAAAATATTCTTTTAAAAAAATGAAAAATTACTTTTAAAAAATAAATAAAATAAAATATAAATTCACAAATAAAGTGTGTATACCTATACATGAATATTATATTTCATTGTTTGCATCGCATGTATATCACTTAACAATGGAAAAATATATGCAAACTTCCGAAGATGGGATTTTAAGAAAATTTGAGTTGTGATTCTTAAGAAGTCCTTAGCTTAGGACATTTCTCTTAAAGTTACCATCTATTGGAACATTTTGAGAATTTTTCAATAATAAGGTTCTAATTTATTTTTCAAATAAAAATGAAATAATGTTTTTTATTTAAAGGAAAAAAATAAAAAAGAGAGTTTTGTGGAGAAAATTAAACAAATCAAAATTGTGATAAGTAAAGGGAGTAAAAGAAGTTAATTTTAAATATCGAAATTAAAACCACTTTTGTCAAGATCAAAGGATAACACATGACTTGTTGGCATCATTTTTTAAACGGATGTTATGGTGGTGCTAATTATTCTCCACATATAACTGTACTTTTGAATTCAAACTATTTTTGTAGATAAAAAAAATTATATTTTTTTTATAAGTTTTAATTATTTTAAGATTTTATTAAAAGAATAAGTTTTATTAGGTGATCAATCACTTTTAATTAAAACTGTTATGACAATTTGATAACTTCACTAGAACATATTTTTTTTAGAGTCAACTCAAAAACTAATTATGTATTATCCTTAATCTTTATTCAACATCATAATTGGTATTTAATTTTAATTTTAATTTTAATTTTCTTGATTTTGATTTTGCTTTTAAAAAAAATATAATAATGATAAACAAATAAAAAGAAAATTCACTTGAATCTCATTTTAATTATATTATTTAATTATGTTATTTTTTTCTATATATTATTCTCATTAAATGTGGGGCATTTAGGATAGAGATGGTGGTGTTATTTTTCCTTACATATATGATGATACATTGTATTTTATGCATGAGCTCTATACTAGAGCTTTATCCCTTATAGGAGAAAGTAAAGTACCTATACTCTTATGAGGTGATAAACTTTGCAATGGCAAGCAAAATAATTCCATTCAAATTGAACCTTTTCTATTTGTATCCCATGATGGATGAGGATTAGAGTGTTTTACTAGTCCGGCATGGTTGATAGTAAGGAACAATTTTGGAACCTCTAGATACATGTCAATCCAAACCAAGCATATAATGAGCCATAAAGAGCCAACCTTAGGTAGAGCCTCATTGACTTGTTTGTAGAAGACACCAAAATTTAGGACAAATGGGGAAATACTTTCATTCATGGAAGATGATCAAACAGTTGTATTACTAGTAACAATTAAAAAAATGCACAAAAAAAGAAAGAAATCTTGTATTTAAAAAAAAAGTGTTTGTTCCAAATTCCCTTTTTAAAAAATTAATAACAATTTAGGTTGTCATTTTCTTTGTTTCTGCCCTTTTAGTCATTTAAAAAAAAATGCACAACGAAAACAAAAATGAGAAAGAATTTTTTTTAGAACACAAACATAATAAAACGATTAGTAAAAAAGGCTATTATTTCCTTTGGTTATGTAGTAACCTAAATGCTTATGACTAAGGGAAAATTAATTTTTTTCTAATCTTGAACCATATCTTTATACTAACTTAATTTTGTCTTTTTTTTTGCTTTTGCATAAATTGCATCATATAGTTTCACATTAAGGTATTTGTTTTAGGACATCTCTCTTCCAAGAATTTCTTTTCATAGATCCCGTAAAACTATAAATTTGTTCATCAATTATGAGTGTCCCATGTGAGTCATATAATGAGGTATATGATTGGTCGAAAGAAAAATAGCAAAAGAATGGAGATTGTTTGCCTACCGGTTATGTGTTAAGGTTTTATGAAAAATGAGCATTTGGATTTCACACAAAATATTTTAAAAGATTTAGTCATCATATAGGGTTAGATAAGTGAAGAAAAAAAAAGAGAGATTTTGTGAAAAATATAGGTAGATTGTGTCCCTTATTCTAGTCGTAATCAAAGAATAGTTGATCGAAGTGGCTATATAGTTTTGAGATCGATCTACAAGTGTTTCACTTTTAACCATAAAGATTTAGTGCCAACCATTGAGGAGTATTCGATTTTGCTTGGGATAAAACTATAATGTTTGAACAAGGTGTTTGCTCAGAAGCTAAAATCGGGTTACTATAAAAAATTGGCAAAACTTATAGGGGTTAAAGTCGAAACTATAGACTCTTTTGTGAAACTTAGGAGTGAACATCTTGGTATATGTTGGATTTTTTTCACCAATTTTTTCAGGGGATTTAAATGATGATAAAGGCATGTTTGTTTTCACTTTGGCGATATATGGCATGTTAATTTT